CAGCCGTCCATTCAGTTGCAGACTGATATTTCATCTAGCGAAGAGCAGGAGCGGTTAAATGAAGCATCAAGCGCAGACCTGGTAAACGGTTCTGAAGTAATGGTGGGTGAAATGGAAAAAAAGCGGGAGGAAACGGAGCAGTCGACGAAAAATCACACACCGCAATCACCTTCTGATAATCCGGACTGCGCTGTTTTCCCTATCCCAGTGCTCGTTTCTCGCGGAATAAGAACGAAGGCGGAGCAACCAGTGTTTGACATTGGTGGTCAAAAGAATGCAAATAAAGCAATAACCGACGCCTCCGTAAATTTTTGTGAAGTGGAAAAGACATCGAAAGAACAGGGAGAAGTGGAGCGGCCACAGTCGTCGAGTCGAAGAGCAAGGTCACTGTTTAATGTTCTGGACAATGCTGACTCTGCATTTTCTGTTTTAGGATCGTACTCTTGCTGTGGAATTAAAGTTAGCACTGATCAGCCGATGAATGAAGATAATGGCAAGAAGATGCTGGATGGAACAATAGTGAACGTCCCTGGAACATGTTATGAAATGCCGAAAAGGGCGGAAATGCAATGGCAGATGAAGGTAGGAGCTGAAGAACAGGGAGAAGTAAAGAAAAGTATGAACGAGTGGTCGAAACCGCATCAGAGTGTGTCACTGTTTAAAGTTCTGGGTAACGCCGGCTTAGCTTTCCCATCTTCGGAATTGTTTTCTCATTATGAAGTGGAAATGGAGGCCGAGCGGCTTGCAGGTAATGAGCAGATGAAGCAGCATGAAGAAGCAGTACGCGATGTAGTTGAAGAAAATCGAGAAATGGAGGACTGTGCGGAAGAGCGAAGCAAAATGGCGAAACAGTCAAAGTCAAATAAGCCACCAAAATCATTGGTCTCCGAGAGTAGTTGTTCGAATTTATCCACTTCAGAGCTGTATTATTGCCACGGAAGCGAAACGGAATGCGAGCAGCGACCACTGAATGGAGATAGCCAGAGCGAGCCGAGCTCGGATTCTGCAAATGAATTATGGTTAGCGATGTGTTTGCCACGAACTGAAGCCATGAAGGTAACACCGGTCGAGCCATCGTCACCTAGTCTTGATCCGTTTAGGATGGATCATGCGGAGACTGAATCGAACCTGGAAGCCGAGCAACAGGATTTTTCAGTCGCCTCGTCACTTTCATCAGCAACGTCTCCTGTTTCAATATATTCCTTCAGTTCCACTCCGAAAACATTTCCTTCGCCGCGTATTCCACCACTTTCTGCTTCCGATGACCATAAACTGTATTCGATTGCTCTTAGCAACGGCAGTTCCATGGAAACTCCACTGTCCGAAGAGATAACACTAGCTGCTGCTGCTGCTGCAAATCACTGTGTCAGCGCAACAGCGACCGGAGATGTGCAGGAGAAGGCGATGACGAGTCAGCCAACTCCCTATGAAACATTGGATGAAAATATTATCCTGTGCGACGAGAATCTCATAAAAGAAGCTAAAGTAAGTGTGCTTTGAATTTTGGCCAAGCTTTAAATCCTTGTTTTCCATCAATAGGAAAGCGCCATGCCATGCGGATGCGACAATGAAACGGCGCTCCATTTGCGTTTAGCGCACGCGATCGACTTGGTGCTTTTGTGGCGTGATGACGTTCGTGTCTCTTTCACCTTATTTCATAAATACAAATATTATAATACAGATATTATGATATTAAAGAAATATGAAATTATATGAAATTCTCATCAAAAAATTTGATGAACAGGAGTGTTTCGGTCCATTAAGTCGTAGGTATTCCTCTTCAGCACAACAACATGCCACATCTTCAGTGCCGAACACCCCTTCCCGCTAAATTTGATGTCTGTTATATTTAACCAAACCCCCTAAATTCCCTACGTTTTTAACGGTTCTGGCGTTCCTGTTCACAAATAAAAAGGATGCGCAGTCTGTGTCTCCCTTCCGAAAAGGGATGCATCTTTATTCATTTTTGAACTGGGAGGGAGCAGTAAGCAGCGGATTAGCAAATGGAAAATGGTACTAACAAATGTTTCGGCTTCCCCAGCTGCAGTCTTTTATGGTATATTTTTTCAAAAGCTTCGTCATAGATGATGAAAAGACAGTGTGTTCTTTTTTAAGGTTTGGCATATATTCCTGATTTTTCGGAGAAATTTTTTTTGGTTGTTTTGTTAATTAAGTTTATAAGTTTTGTTTCAAACTATTAGCTTGCTGGAAAAGTTCCATTTTCTAAAATATT